GCAGTTTAGTGATGAGAGAAAACCTGCAGCTAGCTGGGATAAGGTTCACTACTGTGTCCCCAGCACCTGCTATACCATGGGTGTTTGATAAATAACTGTGGAAGGTAGGAAGGCTTTAGAAGGCAGCCCTAGTGTCATTTTTTGTGTTCTGTGTTTTTTTTAAAGCCTTGGCCTGAGATTCAGAGGACTCCTGTTCTGACCCTGCCACTAATTAGTTATGGGAAAGTCACTTACTATCCTTGAGACCCAGTTGCCTAAGCTATAAGAATCGACCTCCCAAGATGACTGCTAGGTGCCATGAGAGGATGTGCACATAAAGGCCACTTTGTAAAGTGCGTGACACTGCAGAAATGAAAAGAATGATTCTCACTGATGACACACGTCACTTGACTTGACCCCCAAAACAAGCCCAGGGAGTTGGTGAATTATTATCAAGAACTTACAGAAAAGGACAGTATAGCTTTTTCAAGGGAGTCAATGGCTCTGCCCGAGTTCAAAGGACAAGTATCAGAATAAACAAGAACAGAAGTTGGGACATGAACCTAAGTTAGGTTATGCCAGAATCTGAGCTTTTCCTCCAGTTAAGAGTATTATTACAGAAGAAACAGAAGTTTCAATGGGATCTAAGAGGAAAAGTAGCCTTTTTTATGGCTGGAGAGAGAAGGGGATTCACCCATGCATCAACTCCTAGATATTAAGAATCTATATAAACCCTTTTCCGGGGCTTGACCAAAGCTATCACTGTTTATTTAAAAAGAATACTGAGCATTTTTTCCACATTAAAATCTTTGCCCATAATACTCTTCACAGCACAGAGCCAGGCAACATGAGAGGAGGCTAGATAGGAGATGATATTTTACTATTTGCTCCTAATCTCATTGCTGCTAGAGTCATTAAGCCTTTATACGGCAGGGATAGAATCCATTGCTTTGTGGATTTGGAAGGAATTCCTATTATGCTAATTCCAGAATCTGAGGTACATCTGAAAAAGAGGTCAACATGACTAGATTTTTCCCTATCTCTTGCCACAGAAGAGTGTCTGTTTTCTCTATAACTTCTGACAATCTCTACCACCACCATTCTATTCCTTTGTTATGGGGACATTCAAACTGAAGCAAGGGCACCCAATCAGTCAAGGCTTCCCTTGTTATTTGAAGCAACCCTGACATTTGGCAGGGTAGGATGATTAGATTTCCAGCTCTGAGTGCCCATCTACCATCCCTGCCTGTCACTCATGCCCTCTGATCAGAAGCAGATTCTGGACGGAGCCCGCCAGGCTCTATGACTGCCCGTGATGGGAAAGTGGGAAAGAAGTTGTTGTTGTTGTTGTTGTTGTTGTTTAATTTAAGCTGTATAGCTTTTCCGGAAGTGAGTCTACTAAAAGTGAATGATTCTCTTTTCCTCTGAGATCTTTGCTTTGACTTCCCATGAGGACTATGGCACTTAATGGAGGCAGATGAACAAGGATACCTCATCATTAGCCCACATCACACACATGCCTCCAGCTGCCAGGCAAGGGCAGCAACGTCAGCGAGAAAAGATCTCCTTGTGACAAGTACAGGAGCAAGTCATGGGACCTCAGTTCTAATTCAATGAACTACAAGGAAATAAGAGTCCAAAGGCTGAAGTTCCTTTCCTGATTCTATTTTTACCAGATTATAGGGTCTTGGCTAAGTTACTTCACCATATTTTGAATCTGTTTACCCATAATAGAAATAGTTAACATTCATTGAGTATACAGGAGGTGCCAGGCACTGAGTTACTTTATCTACATTAGCTCACTTAATTCTGAAAACCTTGATAAGTTGAGATAGTATCAGCATTTAAGAGATGAGGCTCAGTGAGGCTCAACCTGCTACATGCTCCACAGCAGAGGAGCTCAGATACGCACCAGAGTTTACTCCGTCAACCACATCCTACCAGGAGTGTCCAACCTTTTGGTGTCTCTGGGCCACACATTAAATACATTGCAACATGTAATCACAAAAAAATTTTCATATGTTAAGAAATTTATGATTTTGCGTTGGGCCAGATTCATAGCCATCCTGAGCCACATGTGGCCTGTGGACTGCCGGCTGGACACCCCGAGAGAACCATTAGCATCTCAGGGTTTCTGTGAGGTTAAAATGCTTGAACAGGGTCCACAGGTCTATGGAACAGAGCAGCACCTGACAAAAGATAATTATTGCAATATTTGTTTGCCCGGTCTTCTTCAGGACTATAGCAAAGCAGTACGCAAACCTATTTTGCTGTCATTGCACATGCTGAGGAAGCAGCGCTGTTACTTATCTTGTAACCAAGGCCACAACATATAACTATTTCAAGGAAACCTGGGAGGTCAGAGAGAATTTTAATTTAAACATCAACAAGACATGAGGAGACAGGCAAGTCGCAATTAAGATTTTTCATGGAAACGCTAGCATCCATAAGATGGAAGGGATGGTCTTATCAAAAAGCAGGAAAGGAGCTGTTGAGCCAGGTGCTTTGCTTGCGAAAGCATGGATCTGGAAGAAGCTACTTTAGCACGCTGCTGTCCATCTAGCCTGCTGCTGCCGAGTGCGTTCCCACGAATGGCAGCATTTGACAGCACCTTTCCACCACATTGTGTCGGGGAGCATCTCACTCGGCAAGGCAGTAATGATCACATGTGAGGGGAGAGGAGAGCACAGAACATCCCTGTCCCTGTGCTATTCTTATCACAACCACTTCCTGGTTACAAGCTGGAGGGTGGGAGGGGAAGGGGGGGACGGACTTAAAAGCATTCAATTAACTGATCCACCAAGGGTCAAAAACACCTGTTCAAATGTTACTATAATTACTTGCCATCTATTACAAACATTGTTTCCAGGAAAAGCCATTCTTCCTCAAGAACTCAACAACACATGGTCAATTTGGAGCAAATAGTAAAATTGGATTTTAAGTTCTTCATTTTCTCAACACAAAATTCCTTAGTCCACCTTAAAGAAACTACTACAGTTGCCAAATGGACTGTTTTTCTTTTAAAGGTTGGAAAGAATTCTCATAGACTCCCTTCCCCCCACCCCAAATTCAAACTGTTGATTGTGTGCCTGGTTTACGATGTTATTAAAAAACAAAGAGGGGTCTCAAAGTTTACAACCAACCCCCAGAGTGGGGAAGTCCAAAGAAAAACTTCATGAAATGTGGTTCCTGTGCCATCAGCAGCTTACATTTGATCCAGAATAGGCAAGATTAGCTAACTGCCTATCCCCATGAGCAGTTCATTTGGAATAGATGACCTGCATTCCAAAATCAAGTCAAGCAGGATGGAGAGAAGGCTTTGAAAGAAGCCAGGCACAGGTCTGAATTCCAGCTTCTAAGAGCTGTAGACTTTGAGCTTATCATTTAACCCCTTTGACCTTCTGATTTTCCACTTGTATAATGGGGATAATAGCATTTATTTCACATGGAGTATTCTTTTTTTTTTTTTTAAATCCTCACCCAAGGATATGTTTTCATTGATTTTTAGAGAGAGAGAAAGGAGAGGGAAAGAGAGAAAGAGAGAGACAGAGAAACACATTGATGTGAGAGAGAAACATCGATCGGTTGCCTCCCATATGCACCCCGACCGGGGATCAAACCCACAGCGCTTTGGTGTACAGGAACAGGCTCCAACCAACTGAGCCACTTGACAGGGCCACATGTGGTACTCTTAATATTAACTTCCTTCTTCTTGGCTTGCTAATATAGGCCAAACAGAAGCTTCCAGGATATGGCTAATACATAGATGACTCAAGAATCTTGGTGAACATGACGCTTATTTATGCTTTTTATCCACGCGGCTGAGGTTAAGGAGCAAAGAACAAACTTAGAATAATGCTGGAGGTGTGGAATGGACAGCTGTGAACAATGTATGACTCACAAATTTTAAGGCTGGATTGCCATCAATTACTATATTTCTCCTCTGCCCCAAATGGACAGATCTAAAACATGGTGGTGACCGTCCAAGTACAGGTAGGCCATACCCCAATTTCCACGAGGCCACCATTGCTCAAGATAATCGTGGACCTTGTCCAAGTCTGTGGTACATTTTTGCTTTCTCAATGAGGACTTTGTCCTCCATGGGAAGACCTGGCTATAAGTCTGGACTTTACATCTGTATATGAGTAACCTGCTTAGCAGTTAAGAGTGTGCAAAGTATTTCAGCACACATGACCTATTTTACTCCTCCATGAGATGTGATGAAGCAAGACAGTCATCCTTGGTTTCAAAGATGTACAGCTCATCAGTGGAGGGCCAGGCCTACAACCGAGGTCTCTATATTCCAAGTTTCATTTTATTTTCACTTTGACACCATGGCCATTGGATGAGAGAACTAAATACCAGTGGCATTATCACTGTTAGAGCAGCACAGCGATGATATGGAAAGAACCCAGAAAATGCCTGTGATATCCGACAAGGTATTTCCCCTCTCCTCTGGGGCTCAGAACTCAGACTCTGGGGTAAAGGACAACTAAGTTCAAATCCTAATTCTACCACTTATTAACCTAGTGATCTTGGAAAAATTATATTTACTCTGAAAACGTAGTTCCTTAATATGTAGAAGACAGATAAGAACAATATCTAGGCTTCATTGGATTGCTGTGAGAATAATGCAAACAAAGTATTTTAGTATACAGTAAGTCCTCATGATAGGATCTACAACTTTAAGCAAAATGACCTATAACAAAACCAATTTTACCGTAGGCTAATTGATATAAACAAGAGTTAAGTTCCTATGGCATCTCATCAATGTTATAATGAAAACACAATTCCATTTGAAATGACTTTATTTGAGGACCTGCTGTTTATGTATCTATGTCTGTAAAGTATTTTAAAATACCTTTAATATTAGTATTAACTGCATGACATAATTAGTGTTAATCACTGAAATTCTAGAAGGTGAAATTCTAATTGATCTACCAAGTCTCTGCTAACTCAGATATTCTATAATATGATACAGGGGAAGTCAGGAGGTTGAGCACAATAGCCTGGGTGCTTACCGCAAGGATGGCGATGACAATCCCTACGGCACAGAGCACAGCGTCATTTATTGTCTCCCCGGTTTTCAGAGGATACTTGATGCTGTCGTCATTGCAGTAAAACCCTCGGTGGTAAGGCTTGATGGTGCTGGTCTCAATGATCAGGAAGGGCAGGCCCGCTGGTCAAGACGAAATCATTGCCATGTACCAGGAAAAGACAAAACAAAACAAGGGGAAAACATCAATGCAAGTTGGCTAACGAATGACTGCAGCAAAGACTACTTTAAGTAACAGCACTGATAACGATATTGACACCTTGCATTTTGGCCATGTGCAGCCTAAAGAGAGCTTCCACTCCATGCATCCCCTTTCCTCCTTTTGTCACCCCTCCTGAGAGCACAGGGGGCGGCAGTGGAAGAGCCAGGGTAGGAGCTTTTCCACTGCTCTACAACATCCTGCTAAAAATTAAACCCCAATTTGTAATAATTACTAACACAGCCCCAAGTCTAATGATGTATCATTATGCCTTCAAGTACATTCTTCTCTTAAGTCTTAACCATTTCCCCTTTGAGAAGGTCATCCGAAGGCTACGTTGCATGGTGTAGTGAAGGCCTAGAGTCAGATAAACTTGAATTTGAATCCCAGATCCACAATCTCCTAGCAGTGTGACTTCTGGTTCTCTCTCTATCTTCCCAGGCCTCAGTTTCCCCCTACATCAAATAAGCTGTGGCAATGACTACAAGAGGAAAAAGCACGTAAAACTGCTAGCACAATGCCTGGTGCACAGTGCCTGGTACACAGCGGCTGTTCAATGAATGCCATACTCTGTCTTGTTCTTTTACTGTTCTAAGAGTCATTGCGAAGACTGAGCAGAGCTGAGCTGAGCCCTGCTGCCGGCAGACCTGGAGCAGAGCCCAAGGGTACCTGAGAGCCCCAGGCTGCTAGTGCAGCTGCTGCTGGTTTAATCAGTGGCCAGCTCAGATGCCATTCTCTTAAAGGGCATGGCAAATGGATTCCATCACCTGCCAGGAAAAAGTCCCTCATAACCCTGAAATAAAGAATGAAAGGTCACAATTTCTTTTGTGTGGACACTGCAAAAGCCTCCAAATCGGCCTCCTGGCCTTCACTGCCTCTTACACATACCCACCAGTTTACTTCCTGACCATAACACTGCCTTGCTGCAGTCTCTTCAATGGTTTCCCACTGCACGGGACAAGATAAAGCATAACTTGAACCTCCCCTCTCTGGACTCATGGTCTCCTGCCTCCACCCCATTGACCCCCATCCTACAAGAAAACAGTACACAAAGACTATCTTGTTTCAGGCTCTTTTCTTAGACTGGTAGACCTATTTCTCCCCCAGCACCCAAGTTCAATACCAAGCCACAATGCCACCTCACAAAGTAAAAGGTGAGCCACTGAATGTTAGGACTAGGGAAGACCACGGAAAACATCTAGTTAATGGTAACCAGTGGTGTGCACCTATCATACGTAAGGTACTTTATATCCATTTTTGCACTGAATCTTTCAACAACCTTGAGAGGTCATTTAAGCATGACTATCGCTCATTTTCAAGTAGAAAAAACAGAGAGTCAGAGGGACTATTGCGCTCACTCAGAGTCTCTTAGCCCATCCCAAAATGCCTAAATTCCTCATTTTACTTTGCAAATTAATTTTATCCAAATGTGAATTTCATTAGCTTAAAAAAAAAAAAAATCCCAAGATAAGCAGTTGTTGAAAAGATAAAATTCCATTTTCATGTTTTTCGAAAAGAATTAAATTCATGTCACATTGCTTCAGGGCCCAGACCGCCTCTTTAAAAAAAAAAAATGTACCATGAACTCCACAATTTTTCAATTACTTTGGTGCAGACCGGCAGCAATAAAAATGCTCACTTTCTAAAAAGTGTATTTATGTATCACTGTGTATACGGCACATGGATTTATTTGGTTTTATTCTTGGGATTTATTTGAATTCTACGGCTATTTATTTTGTGACCCCCTAACTGCTTCCTGCTAGAACAACAATTTACTTTATCAAATTCATACTGGTGCTTTGAAAAGAAAGAACAGCAACACACCACAGCATTGTGCTTGACCTTCTCAAAGTAAACACAGAGGGGCCCTGGAAGGCAATAACCATTAGGCCTTGGAACTCTGTCTCTGCAGTGAAGAAAAGAGGGTAAGGGAGGCCATGGCTTAGAAATGGCAAGAGCAGTTAGCTAATCTTTTGGGGTTAGGGGGCTGGGAGGAAAGATAGCACATGGGCCTGGACCATCTTCATTCCACTGCCTAAACATTTTGAAATGTGGCCAAGTTGGCTATGAAAAGAAGCTGAGAAGCCAGTAGTATGATAATAATAGTCTGCTTTTAAGTTCCGCACATTGTGATAAAATCGTTTAGCTTGGTGTAGGGGCCCGGCCACAGCCTCTGTGGTGCCTAGGAGCCAAAATGTTGCTAATAAACTCAGGTAGGGAACAGACCCCGAGTTCCTTAAATTTGTGCTACACTCTCAGGCCCCCAACTTCTATTTTTAATAGTGTGCACATGATAGGCCTGTAAAACATATGTTTCTAAGGACAATAAAACACATATAAAAGGGCTGTGGAGTGAGACAGAACTGGGTTAATGATCTCAATTCTGCTCCTTTTCACTTGCGTAAGCTATTTCACATCTCAAAAGCCCCTTCTCCTCTGTTCAATGGGAAGAATGAAATCTAGCTTTGAGTGTGCTGGGATGATGTCATATGTTAATGTAGTCATTCATTCATTCATTCAACAAATGTTGATGGAGTCTTTACTATGTATAGAGAGTACAAGGAATAGAAAGATGACATAAGCGCTGACCTCAGGGAGCTTACAGTCTAGAAGGGGAAGACACATGGACGCAATATACAGGATGATGCTTTAGTTGGGAGACAACAAGCAACAGCATCTGTAATGTGAACACAGCCTGAATACTCAATAAATGTTAAAAGAAAGAAGGGGGGGAAAGTCCCACAGAGAAGGTTAGGAAAGAAAATGTCTGGTTAGTTCCTTTGCCTTCTTAACCTGGGAGCTATCCAAACCCTTTTACTTCCTTCCTTGTTCAAGGCTTGGGGAGGGATTCCGGTTCTGATTATGTGCATCATGGCCACAAAGAGACAAAAAGTTGGATCTCAATACGTTGTTTGTTTTCTTGAAAAGCATGGAAATAGCATTTAGAAAACCCAATGGCTTTTTTTGTCTCCCCTACCAACTGTGGTCTGATTGCGGGCGATGCCAGTCAAATCTTGACTTTGTTCCAGGAAGAGAGTAACCTCATATTCCTTCAGTTGATGGGAAAAGCATAAACATTTTCCCCAATGGGGCAGCTATTCCTCAAGAGATATAAACCACGCCTTCCCTCTCTAGGGCACAGAGAAGTGGCTCTTCTTTTTCCAAAGTGGGATCTCCATCTCCAACTTTGGCACCACCTTTACCATCAACCACTACAGTCCCTGGTCATTTCATCTCAAGAAAATTTCCAGTGCCAGCCACTGGGAACCTAAAGGTGACTACATCATTGTACCTGTCCTCAAGAGGCTCATGATATTGTAAGACACAAAACAAGTGCACTAAAATATTTCTAACATGTGGACTGACATATGTGTAGACTATAGCAAGGGCACAAAAGACTACTTTACTAGGGCCATTAAAGATGGCCCACAGAGGATGGGAGGCTTCCACTGACCTTTATAAAAGCAAGAGGCTTCTGGGGTCCGAGTGCTAGGTAAACTCATGAGAACTCAGTGTAGTTTAGGGATTCCAATAAGGGAGTCAACAAAACTGATGGCCATTATGAAAATACAATTTTAAATTTTGCTACTGAGCTGGAAGAGATACATAAGTAAGCAATGAAAGGAAGAAAAAGAAAAATAGCATGAAGAACAGTAATAACAGCTAACATTTACTAAATAGCTACTATGTGCCCACACTGTGTTGAGGATCCCCACATAAACCACTGCAGTCTCACAAACCTGGCTGCCTGTTATGTTCCAGGTACTGATGGGACTACTGAGATGAAGAAATTTACATCCTACCCTTGAGGTAGCCCTCAGGCTAATGAAACAGTTATAAAACCTAACATACTTGGGCGCTGGCCAGGTAGCTCAGTTGCCTAGAGCATATGCTAAGGTTGCAGGTTCGATCTCTAGTCAGGGCGCACACACACACAAATCAACACACAAATCAACAAATGAATGAATAAATACGTGGAACAACAAGTCAATGTTTCTCTCTTTCTCTCCCCTTCTTTTCTCTCTTAAAAAAAAAAAATCAATGAAAAAAAACTAATACACTGGTAGTCATCTCCAAATGGTAAATCACAGATACTACTCTTTTTCTTGTCCCTGTTGGCTGTATTTTCTAAATGTTTTACAACGAATACACATTTGCTTTAAAATTTTAAAAAAAGTTATTTCTAAAGAAGAAAACAACTAACACGTTAAGTCAGCTTAAGGTAAGTACACAGTGGAGCTAGATGGGATTCAAGGGACCTGACTCTTGGTGCTTTCTAAAGTCAGGCAGTCACTTAAAACAGAGGGAAGGAAGCACCTATGAGTATTAATAAATTAACTGAAGCTCAGCAACCATTCTGGTCTTTGAAGAAAAATAATGGTTTGTTTGGAACAGTCAAGGCAAGAGCATTGGCTATTGTTCACTGAACATTCACCATATACATGTGTGCGAGATATAATTTAACTGAAACTCTGAAGCCAATACCCTTGAATTAAGATTTATCTATAATGAAAGGTAGATTACCAGCTTTTTGAAAAGCAGAACCAAAAAGTGTGCACACACACACACCATCTGGTGATTCTAGACTCAGACTCAAGTATTTCTCCTTTTTTTTAATCAAGGATCAATTAACTTCCTATACCTCCAGGGACCTCTTGAGATGTGTAAGCTGCAGAGGAGGCGAAATACGAACTCACTGACAAACACTTAATGGGCAGAAAATCAAAGCACTAAGAAAGGCCTCTGTGTTGGGTTCAGGCCTTTGAAACTTCTTAGGCTTTGAAAAACTAACACTCGGGTAGGTTGGGTGGTTGGGAGTGAGGTGTAAAAAAACAGAGGATAAGTTTTCGTGGCCCACCCATTGATAAAGTCATGTGGGAAGTGTTACCAAGTGACCCAGCCCCAGAGCGCTACTCCCTTCAGC